CACGATGCGACATGTGTCTTTTCGGGAGGTCTAGCTTTGCTGCCTTTTGCTATTTGAAAGTCTTTTTCAGCCGGTATTGATGGAAGTATGCTTCCTAGCAGATCACTTAGCTGTAAACCTGAAATTTTCTCGCACAACAAAAACGCAATCTCGGCTTTTCTTGTTCCACGACAGTTATGTCCCACACAATCCAGGACAAATCCAGACAGTTAACGCTTAAAAAACTCTTGCTGTGAATTTCATGGAAAGAAAAATGCCCGTGCTGCAGCAAACTGCTATCGGCCGCCTTCCATTCTCGTAATTGCCTAGCTCCGGAGAAAACCACTGTTTCAGGCTCATAAAATATAGTGGAATTTTGCGCATCCATAACTTCTCCCACCTCATTTGTTCTCTTTTTCGACGCACTTAAAATCCAAAATTTTTAGTAGCTCCCACTTTTTAGTAATTTTATTAGTTCCCACTCAGGAAAATGTCTCATCTTTCTGCTGTCCTCTTTCCTCTACTTCTAACAAAACTGAGGCCAACAATCGATGGGTGCCGGGAATTTCTTGATTTTTTATGCGTTTTGTCCTGTGTAACAGCAGTACAAAACGCATATTGTCACGAGGTTGTCTGTGTGTTTGTGTGTGTATGTGTGTGTGTGTCCGCAGCAACTTGTCCGCAACTTTCAACTCGGGAATCGCAAAAGCTAGGAAACTGAAAATTTAGGGAACGTTTCCCACCTATGTGTGACCCCGCAAATTTAAATTCAGCTTCCTCGTACCCGCGGGTAAAGCGCACAGCCCCGTGGAAGTTTTTTACGGGTAAATTAATATCTCGGGAACCACCGAGCCTACGAGGCTGAAATTTTAAGGTAATGATCCCTTGCCCACGCTCAACCTTGCCCAATCAAATTCAGCCTTCCCTTGCCCGCGGATAATGCGTACGGCTCCGTCAAAGTTTTTTACGGGTAAATTAATGTCTCGGGAGCCACGGAGTCTAGGAGTCTGAAATTTTAGGATAATAATCCCCCTGCCCACGCTCAACCATGCCCATTCAAATCCAGCGTCCCCGCGCTCTTTAGTATCACCTACGGTCTCGTGAAAATTTTGGCGGGTAAACTATTAACTCGGGAATCACGGAAAGATATTCACCCTTCAAGGTTTCGAATTCTGCTTTCACGCGCTGGTGCGTGAAATTTTTAACTGTTTCCCAATGTTTGAACTATTTTTGCATAGATTAAAGTAC